TGATACGTGGCTCTAGGACAGTTAGTTGTAACACTGAACAGAAAGATTTTTTTCTTCCTACTGTAAAAAATATGATGAATTTATACACACGTCCGTCTAATAGTACAAGACCGGCTATAACAAGAAAAGGAGACGCTCCTCCAACGAAATCGTACATGAAACCTCCAAAAGGCGGTCCAGCTACAGAACAAGGATTAAATGAGGTAGCTCCATATTACGATAAATACTCTTACCAACAGCGCCAAAACCAATGCCAACTACAGCAATACTCATTATCTTGCCTCGTTCCTTATTGTCTGGATATTTCTGGGCTAATATGCCAAGACCTGTATTCCAAAGCGTCGATTATTAAGATATATGAAGACTATGTTTCTCTTACCTGCCAAAGTGGTACAGGCAGAACCGATTCCTTGTACAGAACGAGCCAAAAACATTGACATGTATGTTCTTACAAATGCAAATGCTAGAACAATTTGAGAGAGAGAACATAATGAAGCCACAAAACATTGGTATGCTATATTCAATCCTATTTGAGAAGAAAACAAAAAAGAAAACGTCGAGTGGCTGAATAACCTCGAAAGCCTTGCCTGTTTGTTATTGGTCCAACAAATCCATTCGCTAATAGTTCTGCAATTGGTTTCGAAGCCAACAGGAAACCTACGCGTCCATTTTCCTAAACATATGATTATATAATCGCTTCTTATCTTTGGCGGCACATATTCTTTCCCTCCTTTACTTTTACTAAAGCCTCCGGTTTTCGAGCACTTTCAATATCTTGTGCATTTCTTATCCAGTCAATTGAGTGACTACAATTAATACTGAATAAAAATTTACGTAATACTTGCGAATATCGTTCATAATATTCATGACGATGCTGTTTGTCATTAAAACTTGTACACTTTTTAACCAAAAATTCAAAGGGTGAATTAGTTTTATGCTCAAGATGATATAAATACTCAGCAATAAGTGGCACTATCATCGTCAATAAAATATTGTCTGAGAAAAGACTAATAAATACAATCAATAATATTGCAGAACGACATGATAGCCATTTATGCCATAATTTCAGAAATAAATCCATTCACAATGGATCAGCCAAAGGAACAGATTAGTGTGTTACTAATTATTCTTGCCATTTATGAAGATCAGGTGTGTAATTAATACATCTGTTGGAAGGGGATTGTACTCTTTGCAAATCTACTCCATTGGTTAAAACAACTTGCACAAGCTGACAAAGCATTTAGTTCTCTTTTTTTCTAAAACAGTTTGGTTTGTGTGCTATGTAATTCGACTTTTCTATATGTATGTTTCGGTACATTATCAGTCAGACATTTATCGTTAAATGGTGCTGTTACAGAACGTATCTGATAAAAAGTAGTACATGAATTTTTACTTTCTACTATTACCTTTTCAAAAAACAACAGGAGTGGGCAAAATGCTTATAACTTTTTGGCTTCGTTTGATCGACCATATACTGTCTAGCAGTTTTTTTCTCGCACACAGAAGCTGGAGTGAACCGACTGGTATTAATTTGTAATAATGACTGCGAGAAACAACTTCAGACATCCGGTATTTTAATTTCTCTTTCTTTCAAATGGTGGAGTATTTTGCCTTGAAAACCCAAACTTAGCTTAAAAGTTTTTTAAAGAAAATCACAAGTCAGTTCTGAAATCAAATTCTTTTATATCATTACTATAACTATTATTTCAATTTGAAACCAACCCCAGCTCTTCGTTTGACGAAGAAATCCATTGAATGGTTTTCTTCGCCATCAAGAAAGTTTATATATATATAGCGACGACACTGTATAGAAATATTTTGGGGTTCTTAGTAAACATGTCGTAACTCTTGATTAAAACATCGTCCAAAGCTGGGAAGTATCTAATTTTAACCGAGAAATGTTTGTTCTACAAACTGTCACCATTGAAATTGTTTTTCATTCCGATATTTTACTGAAATGTTCGAATTTTATATAGCGCGCTTTTCAGATCTTTTAGAAACCTTATTTGAAACTCTCAAAAACCTTTAATATTGATAACAGCAATATGAATTCTAAGAGTGGAAAAATTGGGCTGTTGTACCATGTGTTTGGCTCAGTAAAAACTAATGCTTATGTGTAGAACAACCCCAAGCTAAAATATGTGTGTTCGAACGTTAAAATGTTTTTTGTGGGGTATAGAGCGATCGTTGTTTACTTACTCGCGTTGAATCGCTGACTCCGTTAGCAATGGGAGCATCCTCCAACGAGCTTGCACTAATTATTGCAAAATTATGAATCACAAATTATAGCCGAAATTATAGGTTATAATAATCGACGAAAATCTGAAAATATAGAAAAAAATGATTCCCACTACACGTGTTAATCAGTTGTTGTGAAGTTATCAATGTGCTTTTTCTACAATGTCTATGAAAAATCACATATTTCATAGTTTCTCTTGGATATTGGTTCATATAGCATTAGTATCACTTCATCTGAATACGTTTTTTTTATGAATGTTAATATATAATATATCTTATTTTTCCTCACTCATAATTTTTTATTGATTTCTCCGTATGTACGTTGCAGGAAAGGTCACCGCTTTCAAAACAAGCAAGGGTGGTTTGAATGATACTTACTAACTGTTTTTTCGGTGACAGTGTTGTAAGAAAGAAAGCATGATAAAGGTGAGGAAAATAAGCCGTGTTATACTGGCATGTTCACCTGGATTATGTTTTTTTATTATTAATTTATTGTTATTTTTTATTATTAATAATGTTTATTTTAACGACTGTTAGTAAACTCTTTAAGTAAAACCTCACTGTTGCGATCACTGACAAAGTTTAAAATTCCCATCGAGAAGCTGAACTTCTCATTTCTTTTCAAGTCAGAGTCGAAAATGCCTCTCAAAACGTTGTGTCCACGATAGTGTGCCTCAAGCATACTACAGCGTGGACGCCACTGGGATTATTGTGAAAAGTCATGCGCCAAAGAAACGAGGACTTTCAGCAAATGTAGCGGATTCATTAAAAAAATTTGAAAATTGTAGAGATCACGAAACAAATCATAAGTCTATTGAAAAAGAACGATAAAGCAAGTAAGATATAATCACGAACAACTTTAAAGTTCACCGTAAATTTGGAGCCAGAAATGACTGCAATGTAGAACATTTCGAATCATTCCAAGAACTTCAGGTCCGATGTACCTAATATGATGTACAAAAATATCTGATCGTTTTCGGCTGTTTCTGAATGGCTGTGGCGTGGCTAAATAATATATAATTGGAATAAAACGTAAAGGAAAAACACGCCGTGGTTATGGCAGAAATATTACAGAAACAAAAGCAAAACAAATTACACATGTAAAAAGAGTTATCGTTCCAACAGGGGAACAGAGGAGTATTATAAAACGAAGGCGTTATTTTTTTTACACAGACGGTGGCACGAGTACACGTTAACGATCTACGACTTGTGCTTGAAACACAAAATTAATAATAACAAAGTGCACATCAGCATCTCCCATCAAGTGCAAAAATATAACTGTTTTATTTATGAGTACTGTAAATATTCTGTACGAGATCAATAATCCACTAATAGCTAACATCTTTGTCTATCTAATAATTAAATTAATTATTTGACCATATACCATAACATCATTCAACCATCACAAAATTTAATTAACATGATCACCATTTACAAATCTATTTTGCACAGTTGAGGAATCGCATATAAGGCAGGAATTGAGCAAGATAGCAATGGCAATTTGTTATATCATGTGGCTTAGAAACAACTAATCTAAGGGCGACAGTCTTTGTAAGACGCTCAGACGACTGAGCCGAAAAAACCACTAAAAAGTCTTTCCTTGCTTAGGGTCAGCATGCTTCACAAGATAAAATCAATATATTTCAAGGGCCAACGTGAAAAAGATGAGCAATATAATCATCTACCAGCATTTAAGTTACCGGTTGGGGATGGAGTCTATTTCCGCCCCACGGATTCACTGAAATTGCTGTCATTAACAGTTCCATTCACTTCAAATTATGGACGATTTAATTAAAATATGTACCGGTGTCAAACAGTACATCATTGATACAGAAGGTGACAGTGACTCACACCAACCTTCGCTCATCCAAATCATGCTAATTAAAGATATATCACTACAGAATACAGAGTTAGTAAGTCGACGGACCAGTGAGTGGTCTCCTTACTTCTTGTTATTCTTGTATATGTATTTTATCTTGTTATTTTAAATATATATTTGTGTTTAATACAGATTCAACAGAACGCTAAAATAAAAGCGCAATACTTACATGGATTGACGGTGGTTGTCGAAGCTTAAACAATTACAATAAGTTATTGATCAAAAGAAGAAGCGAAGCGATTTTATTCGCTTGAAAACGATGATATAATCAAGACTTTCCTATATACATGTATTTATGTGTCGTGGGGGGAAAGGTGCATAAAATGACCTTCAAGCATTTTGACTTTCATTGATTTTGATAAATTAATGTATTTTCCTTCTATAAGCTGAAATCTATTTCCATTACATTAATTCCATTCTTACCTGGAAAAATGGAATCGTCATATGTATGCATTTTAGTTTCCTCTACGGAGAATTTGGATTCCGGTTTTATCTAGCGAAACCTAGAATTTCACTGGAGAAAAGTGGAATAGAGCATGTGCACGCACATACATCTCAGTTTTCACTGGAGAATACTCAGTTTCAGTTCTCTCTACCAAAATCTGGAATTTCACTGAATTCCAGTTTTCGCTACAACATTCTGTAGAATGTTGAATTAACAGGTTGATGTAAAAAGATTAGTGGGCTTAACATATGTCTATGTAAATCAGCTATCGGTGCTTCATAATGACGGATGCTATTGAGATGAAAGAGAGTAAAAGTCTTGTTCATATAGTTCACGTCAAGGTTGTTTTCTTGAATCAAGTTTCGAGAAGTTAGTGTTCATAACTTTATTTTTCTTTTCTTAATATAATTATTTATTGTTTTATCGACAAAAATGAACTTCACGAAGTATAAGCATTAGTTAGCCCTGTTGTTGTTGAATATTTGGTTCGATTGAGAAAAAGAGGACATAAAAAACTTTTTTAATAAAGAAAAAATTTGATTTCAGACACCGTGATATTTAAGTTTTCTAAAGTTACTAACAAAGTTTGAAGAAATACTCTTTTCCGGCTTACTTTTTTTTCTTTCAGATTTAGAAAAAATGAATTTTCTCAGCGAAGTAAAAAAATTTCAAAAATCTACGCGTATACTGTTGAAGAAGAGCAAACAGTGGATTACACACTAATGCAGCAAAAATAGCAGTAAACGGCCAGTGGACTAAGGGCAAATTTACCTGAAATGTCCTGTCATCGCAGCAACTTTCTCTGCTTCGTTTAAAACCACTCTACTTTTAAAGAGCTCGTCGAGTTACGTAAGGAACTATCTTTTCTAACTTCACAGCTACTGCAAAAACCGAGAAGAATGACTTTTACTCTCCCAGCGAAACTTTCGGATTCGGCGCCACTCTCGATGAGAGTTGATGAATACTGTGACAAATTTTACAACATGTTCTCCCTCTTTTCTTTTTATTATGTTGTGTCACTATAGACTTACAATTTAAAAAAAATGCTCAAAAAGTACAAAAATATAAAGAATAGCATAAGCCTGATTAACTATTAATAGTTTAAATTTTTCTTCCGCTTGCTTATCTCCCGGATTTCTTTCAGAATGTACCTCTTTGACTTTTAGCAAACAGGCTTGTTTGATCTCTTTTTCAGTGGCAGTACGTGATACGGCTAAGATTTGATATAAATCGAGATTTTGGTCTCTGGGAGGAGGTTGATGATTTGGTACTTGTTGGAATCGACTTGATCTACAATGAGAAAATAGAAGAATAAAGGTGAATATCCGAAAACTTGTTTATTTGTTTGTATTCAGATCTAATAAGCATTAAAAAATATCGTTACCTTCTGTAAGATTGCTGTTTTTCGTGCTGATATTAATATGACTCTTGCAGATACTGTTGTTGTCCTTGACGGGCATAATCCGTGGAAGATTGTTGAAAATCATAGGCAAACTGACTTGATTGACTTTTATAATCTTTCCATTCACGGTATGCACACGCGTATCAACGGAAACGGATGTCACGCGTACGTTGCGTATAGAGAGGGATGCCGTTGCTGTGGATTCCATCGATTTTTTGGGGCAGTTTTATCTTGCCTTAAATACATTGCAAAACAATTGCAATCAATAATTATCCATTCAAAATAAAATTGAGTTGGTAGTGTTCTAAATGCACTTGGACTAGTCCAAGAACACTACCATTTGCGATACACTAGTGCATTTAGAACATACCAGCTCAATTTTACTTTTAATGGATAATTATTGATTGCACTTCTTTTGCAATGTATTTAAGGCAAGATAAAACTACCTCAAAAAATCGACGAAGAATCACGAAAGGAAGCGCTTCTTTTTTGTTGGTCGTTGCATCAATTGGTTCGTACTATTTCACTAAGCAGTATATGGTTCATGGTAGAGATGTGCGGCCCGATCCGAAGATTGGGTAAGGATCAGGTATTGGATTTTTTTAAGCTTTACCCGAAGAAAACCAATGTTATTAGTTCGCTTTAGTCTCACGTCAGTCATAAATTAAATAAGGAAATATATAACAAACTGACATATTCATTGTTCTGCGAAGTACTTTGTTTCATATGCCCAAACGATACCTGCCGAGTGTGGATTACATGACGGACAATAGCGTATATGTTCAATATCACATTTACATTTCTGTTCTGAAGATACGAAACAAATGTTTCCCAGAACAATGGAAATACGTCAGTGTCATATATGTATAATTAGCTGTAGTCCAAAAACTCGGGCATATGTATGTTTTTCTCATAAATTGTGTTGTTCAAAGCTTAAGTGCAGTAAGGGTACGGATACAGGTACAAAGCCTTTGTACCCGTTGTCGGACACGTCTACGCGATTGCGGGTACGGGTACGAAAATCGTACGCGTGCACATCTCTAGTCCGTGGACTGAAGGCATGGACTGGGTCACTTTCTTGCTTTTATTTTCAAATCCACTTCTGTTCTCTATAATAGGTCACCGTAAGAAAGACCTGGCCAGTGGCGAGGTAAGATAAGACTACTATTTTTAGAGCTGAAATCAATAAATAGACAATTTCACCGCAGGAAATCTGGATTCCTTTGAGTAGGAGAGATGGGGCGACAGTACCAATATGGTGTCAATGATGATA